GAACAGGAGAACGAAGCAAATCCCAACAAACATGTGCGCCGTGAACCCCGCAAAGTCCAGGCCCTGGAAACAGGAAACAGAAAATAAGGTGACAGGTGGGGTTCCCGCTGCACAGGCACAGCCCCCACTTCCATTCTGGGCTGGTTCCGAGTGGGTCACATTCTCCTGTCTTGGGTCCTGTTTTCTTGCTTCTTTGCAGGCCTTGTGATCTCTGATTGGAGGTCAGACCCTGTGAACTTTCTGTGGGCTGTTGGATATTTTTGTATTCCTATAAATAGTCATGAGGCTCGTTCTTGGATGCAGTTAAACTATGGAGCAAAAGGTTGATTGTTTAAGGTCTTTAAGAGTTATTAGGTGGAACCAGGGCAGGGTTCAGTCTAGAGCTAATGACCACCCTTCCGAGGGCCCCAGGAAGGGAGAGCTTTCCCCTCTTCCTGGCCATGTGTCGAGCACTCTTGACCTCATCTTGGTAGGTTGTTCTTCCCCTGGCCCTGCATGGTTTCCCCACAGACCTCTGGAGCTCTCCCTGTGCAGCTCTCCTCGCTTCCTGTACTTTCTAGCTACCTTGGTCACTCCAGACTCAGTCTGGCACCTCAGCTCAGGAATCTGATGGGCCCGCCGTGGGCCTCCCTCCCACACTGCGTCCTGGGAACTGTCTCAGGAAGAGAGCTGGGGCCATCAGGTCTCACCTCCTATGTTTCCCATCTCTCAGGGCCACTGTCCTTTTTTGGCCTGATGTGTCGTGATTATCATTGTCTGGTTTGGATTTGGAGTTGTTTTTTTTGTTTTGTTTTGTTTTGCTTTACTTTCTTTTTGGGTGTCTTACCATCAAGCAAGATGGGAAACCAGCCCCTTTTACTCCATCTTGCCCAGAGCAGAGGTCATGCTGTCTGTTTATCCATGTCCATCTTCACACAAACATTCTGGGAGACTGTATGCACCCAAATACTGAGAGGACTTATCTCTGGATGCTGGGATCATACAACTTTTTTTTTTTTTGGTGTGTGATTTCTTTTGTCTACAATAAATGTATTACTGTAGAATAAAAATAATAAAAATAGTTTCTCTAAAAATAGCTCTCTTCTGTGTGATGAGGCCCAGCCTGGTTGGCAGGTGCCCCTGGAACAGATGACAGGACTCTGCCGCCTTCTGGTGTACCCCAGGGTGAAACAACCATGGGTGGAGTGGGCAGCTCACACATACTGGTTAAGTGCTGCCAGCTGGTTTCCCCAGGTAACCACAAGTATTAGATTTTAGCCAGAGCATCAAAGTTATGCCCCAAATCTCTGAACATGGTGGGCCCACAAAGGCAATCACACCTTACAGCCAAGGTTTAAATATTT